TCGTTCCTTCCCTATACCTTTTCGTGGGATGGTCAGTTTTCTAGATAACAATCTTCGTTGCCTTGTCATCTTCGTCTAAAAACGTAATCTATTTTCCATCCGCGACTTTCTCTTAGTCTGAGCCTCTTGCTCTCTACTTTGAAGATGACTTCACTTACTGATAACCATTTGTTTTGCGATGGGTATCGCTGTTTAGAATTTAACAAGAACTTAGCTGATTCATAATGCTACTCCTTCTTCCTGTCGGTATATGTCAGACCCAGGTAGAAAAATGTTGCCTGTAAATCGAATATCAACATTGCCATCAGATTATCTATCGTGATGCTAGTACATTCCTCAAGAAGTGGATGTTCGATTCCAAATTTTTCGAATCAGACAAAGGAAAACTGGCTGACTACAACCAGGCTTGTTATCCAATTGTTATGAATAGGAGCACCTTGAACCGACTTGAATGGGATCACCTTGAACCAATGTGAATGGGAGCAAATTGAAACTACTTGAATAGGAGCAAAGAGAACCGGCTTGAATGGGGTCGCCTTGAAACGACTTGAATTTGATCACCTTAAACCGACTCAGTGTGCTGGTTTATTAACGTATAACAAGGACTTCCCTGATAGTAGGCTGACTATATCCACCAGGAATTTTCTCAATGAGTGGCATACAGAGCCACTTGATCTAATACGTGTTTCAATGGAATGTCAACTTTGTGAAGAATGGGGAAACCGTATATATGAGACAGATTAGTGTAACGCTGAGCCAAGACTCTTTACTCACTTCAAAAAGGAGTCGTTACGGAATTAACATTATATAGCGCTGCATCAAATGAAAAACCGCATGATGGGATATGAGATAATATTTTCAATGTAAATGTCTGAAAAATTAAACTCACAGAACACGTTGGATGCAATAGAATCAGAGAAAAGCATAGAGTAAGCTACCTAATCACGAGTCTGTGTAAATGAATGGCAGAATAGGGACTGGGATTGATAATAAAGAGGTTGGAGAATTTGACACTCACAGGACATATTGAAGGCAAGAGGAGTAGAGGGAAACAGTGAGTAACCTACCTAATAAGCTTGTGTAAATGGATGGCAGAATAGGGACTGGGATTGATAATAAAGAGGTTGGAGAATTTGACACTCACAGGATATATTGAAGGCAAGAGGAGTAGAGGGAAACAGTGAGTAACCTACCAAACAAACTTGTGTAAATGGATGGCAGAACACGGACTGGGATTGATAATAAAGGGCTTGGAGAATTTGACACTCACAGGACATATTGAAGGCAAGAGGAGTAGAGGGAAACAGTGAGTAACCTACCTAACAAACTTGTGTAAATGGATGGCAGAACACGGACTGGGATTGATAATAAAGAGGATGGAGAATTTGACACTCACAGGACATATTGAAGGCAAGAGGAGTAGAGGGAAACAGTGAGTAACCTACCTAACAAACTTGTGTAAATGGATGGCAGAACACGGACTGGGATTGATAATAAAGGGCTTGGAGAATTTGACACTAACAGAACATATTGAAGGCAAGAGGAGTAGAGGGAAACAGTGAGTAACCTACCTAACAAACTTGTGTAAATGGATGGCAGAACACGGACTGGGATTGATAATAAAGGGCTTGGAGAATTTGACACTCCCACCACATATTGAAGGCAAGAGGGTAGAGGGAAACAGTGAGTAACCTACCTAACAAACTTGTGTAAATGGATGGCAGAACACGGACTGGGATTGATAATAAAGGGCTTGGAGAATTTGACACTCACAGGACATATTGAAGGCAAGAGGAGTAGAGGGAAACAGTGAGTAACCTACCTAACAAACTTGTGTAAATGGATGGCAGAACACGGACTGGGATTGATAATAAAGGGGATGGAGAATTTGACACTCACAGGACATATTGAAGGCAAGAGGAGTAGAGGGAAACAGTGAGTAACCTACCTAACAAACTTGTGTAAATGGATGGCAGAACAGGGACTGGGATTGATAATAAAGGGCTTGGAGAATTTGACACTCACAGGACATATTGAAGGCAAGAGGGTAGAGGGAAACAGTGAGTAACCTACCTAACAAACTTGTGTAAATGGATGGCAGAACACGGACTGGGATTGATGATAAAGAGGATGGAGAATTTGACACTCACAGAACATATTGAAGGCAAAGAGGAGTAGAGGGAAACAGTGAGTAACCTACCTAACAAACTTGTGTAAATGCATGGCAGAACACGGACTGGGATTGATAATAAAGGGCTTGGAGAATTTGACTCTCACAGAACATATTGAAAGCAAGAGGAGTAGAGGGGAACAGTGAGTAACCTACCTAACAAACTTGTGTAAATGGATGGCAGAACACGGACTGGGATTGATAATAAAGGGCTTGGAGAATTTGACACTCCCACCACATATTGAAGGCAAGCGGAGTAGAGGGAAACAGTGAGTAACCTACCTAACAAACTTGTGTAAATGGATGGCAGAACACGGACTGGGATTGATAATAAAGGGCTTGGAGAATTTGACACTCACAGAACATATTGAAGGTAAGAGGAGTAGAGGGAAACAGTGAGTAACCTACCTAACAAACTTGTGTAAATGGATGGCAGAACACGGACTGGGATTGATAATAAAGGGCTTGGAGAATTTGACACTCACAGGACATATTGAAGGCAAGAGGAGTAGAGGGAAACAGTGAGTAACCTACCTAACAAACTTGTGTAAATGGATGGCAGAACACGGACTGGGATTGATGATAAAGAGGATGGAGAATTTGACACTCACAGAACATATTGAAGGCAAGAGGAGTAGAGGGAAACAGTGAGTAACCTACCTAACAAACTTGTGTAAATGCATGGCAGAACACGGACTGGGATTGATAATAAAGGGCTTGGAGAATTTGACACTCACAGAACATATTGAAGGCAAGAGGAGTAGAGGGAAACAGTGAGTAACCTACCTAACAAACTTGTGTAAATGGATGGCAGAACACGGACTGGGTTTGATAATAAAGGGCTTGGAGAATTTGACACTCACAGGACATATTGAAGGCAAGAGGAGTAGAGGGAAACAGTGAGTAACCTACCTAACAAACTTGTGTAAATGGATGGCAGAACACGGACTGGGATTGATAATAAAGGGCTTGGAGAATTTGACACTCCCACCACATATTGAAGGCAAGAGGAGTAGAGGGAAACAGTGAGTAACCTACCTAACAAGCTTGTGTAAATGGATGGCAGAACAGGGACTGGGATTGATAATAAAGGGCTTGGAGAATTTGACACTCACAGGACATATTGAAGGCAAGAGGAGTAGAGGGAAACAGTGAGTAACCTACCTAACAAACTTGTGTAAATGGATGGCAGAACACGGACTGGGATTGATAATAAAGGGCTTGGAGAATTTGACACTCACAGGACATATTGAAGGCAAGAGGAGTAGAGGGAAACAGTGAGTAACCTACCTAACAAACGTGTAAATGGATGGCAGAACAGGGACTGGAATTGATAATAAAGGGCTTGTTTATGTGAATTTATGTTTTCGTATTTCTTATCTAATTTTACAATTGGTATGAAGACCTAAAAGAGAGCCCCTGATACCTTCGGCTCAAATGTACAGTCGTGAAAGTGACCATTACAGCTTCTGCTCAAATGTAAATTCGAGTAAGTGATTATTACACCTTCAACTCAAATGTAAAGTCGAGAAAGTGACCATTTTGCCGGTCATTTTAAAATAAGAATGTATTGCTGGTCATTTTGCTACAAAATGTGTTGTTGGTCATTTTGCTATAAATGTATTTCTGGTCATTTTGCTATAAAATATATTGCTTGGTCATTTTGTTATAAACTGTATTTCTACTCATTTTGCTATAAAATATATTGCCTATTCATTTTAAAATAAAAATATATTGCTGGCCATTTTGGCATAAAATGTATTGCTGGTCATTTTGCTATAAAATGAAAGTCCGAGAAATTTTCATAGAAAATATGCGTCCTCCGACAGGAATCGAACCTGTATACTATACGGATTCATCATATAGCCTGACGAGCTTTAACCGATTGGGCCATAGAGGAGCGTTCGGTTAGCAAATACGACCTTGCTAAACGAACGCTCCTCTATACAGAACATTTACTTAAATATTTGCATCTATAAAAATAACGTATAAACATAAAAATCTTTCAAAAAAATAATTGTTGGATTTTAACCGAATGATCCTCTGTGGCCCGATCGGTTAAGGCACGTCAGGCTATATGACGGTTCCGTATAGGATACAGGTTCGATTCCTTTCGGAGGACGCATATTTTCTATGAAAATTTCTCGGACATTCAGGCCGGTAAATGTTGTTAATACTGTTTATTATAAACAGAGCATTTATTTAAATATTTGTATCTATAACAAGAACGTATAATCATAAAAATGTCTTAAAAAAATAATTGTTGGACTTTGTTCATTTCATAATGTGTGATATCATTTGTTTACATTTGGATACGCATTGAGCAGATATGAATGTATGAGAAAAAATCATAGAGAAATGTGTTTAAAAACAGTAAAATCGACCTTGCTAACCAAACGATCCTCTGTGGCCCAATCGGTTAAGGCACGTCAGGCTATATGACGGTTCCGTATAGAGTGTAGGTTCGAATTCTGTCGGAGGACAAATATTTATATATGAAAATTTGTCGGACATTCAGGCCGATAAATGTTTTTAATATTGTTTATTATAAACAGAGCATTTATTTAAATATTTGTATCTGTAAAAAGAATGTATAGACATAAAAATGTCTTTAAAAATAGATAGATAGATAATGAAGAGACTTTGATAGATAGATTCCAACTGAAATGAATTGAATGAATTGTATGAAAAGTTTTACATAGATATCTACATACGAACAGACAGAGATAGATAGATAGATAGATTAATGAGGAGACTTTGATAGATAGATAGATAGATAGGAACAGAGTGAGATATTTTGATTCATCGATATAAACTTTTGTATGTATTCTTAATTGGTTCCAACTGAAATGAATTGAATGAATTGTATGAAAAGGTTTACATAGATATATAGATACGAACAGACAGAGATAGATAGATAGATAGATAGATAGATAGATAGATAATCAAAAGAGATAGATAATTTTAAATTATCTGTTACTATAGATTGTAAAACTGCTTCAACTCTTGCATCTGACTTTTATCGCCACACTGTAATAAGCTACAAAAGAAAGGACGGCAAGAAGAAAAGAAAATACGCGGCCCCACGTGGTTCAGTTTAATCAGGTGAGTTGCCTTCCGGGCGCCTGCCACATGTTTTAATCATTGACAGGGAATAATGAAAAAAAGAACCAGGAATACCATCTGAAAATCCCCCTTTTGTTTTTACTTGCTTTTCAACATGCTTTGGAACGTCCGTGCGCGCTGTAATCTCTAAGTTTTATCAATCTACTTGGAAGTAGACATGATACTCACGTATATGACATACAAAAGAGGCACCCTGATACACAAGCAGAAAGAACGAACACTGGAAGAAACACACTCACACACATTTTTTAGATGTTAAAAAATGAGATTCCAAAGACAGGATACTGATATTAGGGAAAGAAAAATACTTTAGAAAGCATCAAAGAACTCTTCCACGATGAAAGGGGACCACCCGCAAGAAGAAAAAGAAGATGGGTGGAAGAGTGTATAGCGTTGAGTATATCAGGAACTGAACATGAGAGCAACAAAAAAATAGAAATAAAAAAAACACAGTATCAAAAAAGACAGTTGAAATTTCTAATGTACATAACGAGAAAAGAAGGCGTTGAAAATTTAACACTCACAGGACATATTGAAATAGAAGAATATAGCGTATAATCTACCTAACAGGCTTGTGTAAAAGGATAGCAGAGCAGGGATTAGGAAAGATAGCAAAGAGATCAAATTTACTAAGAAATAGTGGAGAACCATGATCACCAATATCCAGAAGGCACATGGCAAGAAGAAGAAGAAGAAGAAGAAGAAGAATGTATGGGTGGACGGATGTATAATGTTGAACCTTTGTTTTGATAAAGAGCTGATAAATACGGATAACGTTGGCACGATTTCAGAATCTACATTTTATTTTATTTTTTTTTACTAACGTTCCCCTGTATAAGGCCCAAGGGCAACTCAATGTAGAGGGTTACTGTTGTGGATTCCGAGATTAAATCCGGTCTCCAATGAATGACAAACGCTGGAATGGAATATAACAAATAAATGTATTTACACAATAATACAATTGGTAATACGGTTAGTAGATCCAGAAACACGGTTAGTAGCAATAATAATATATATATACAGTCTGGCAAATCCAGTCTTGAAGTAGGACTTCCTTAGAGTCGACGTGCTTGTAACTGTGACTTCTCCAAGCGGTTACCTCACACTATTACTCTCTCTCTCTCTCTCTCTCTCTCTCTCTCTCTCTCTCTCTCTCTCTCTCTCTGACTGACTCTGGGTATTTAACGGCAGCAGTGCTAGTAACACTCTGGTCGAGTCCACTCGTATGAAAAAGGGGTGGACCCCATAACAGTTACTGAAGGCACTTGATGCGTGTGCCGTAAGAGCAAGGGTCGCAGTTTATGTGGTTATGAGAGAAAGATAATTGTCAACCAAAGACTTGAAGTGGTTAAAATTATAGTTGTCGGGAAAGCATCCTCCTGGGATTCTGTTTCACAGAGCAACAGTTTTGGAAAAGAAGCTATCGGAGTGGAACTTACTACTTTTGCTAATGGAACACAAAAGTAATGAGGGTGGTTCGCCTCAATATACACAGCGTTTCGGGTCTTGGAGGTTTAGTGTTGGGAGAATTAAAGAATGTAGCGCGTCTGATCATTTTACGTGGACATACTGATAGAGTAGCTAGAAGCTTGTAACGTTTCGAGCGTTGGAATATAGGAGAGAGAATGAAGGAAATTAGATAGATAGATAGATAGATAGATAGATAGATAGATGAGAAAAGAAGGATAGATAGATAGATAGATAGATAGATAGATAGATAGATAGATAGATAGATAGATAGATAGATGAGAAAAGAAGGATAGATAGATAGATAGATAGATAGATAGATGAGAAAAGTAGTATAGATAGATAGATAGATAGATAGATGAGAAAAGAAGTATAGATAGATAGATAGATAGATAGATAGATAGATAGATGAGAAAAGAAAGAAGTATAGATAGATAGATAGATAGATAGATAGATAGATAGATAGATGAGAAAAGAAGTATAGATAGATAGATAGATAGATAGATAGATAGATAGATAGATAGATAGATAGATGAAAAAAAGTATAGATAGAAAAGGCTCGTTTTGAGTCAAGTCAGATCAGAGCAAAAGTTCAAAATCGTCTCTGCATCCTTGTAGGAGTGTGACGGTTACACACCTGGCCCAGGGTCGAATCCTTTGGTTACGGCGCCAACTGTGACGTCGCTCCTCCTGGTCGCTCCTCCTGGTTCCAAGCGTGCCGCTCCAACCCCTTGGTTGGATGATCACCAGCCTCGCCTTTCCCAACTCGCTTCCAATACCTGGTTACTGAAGCAACTGTACTGATCTCCGGTCTGTCTACCCACGCTGTGTTTAGATCTTAGACAGACGGGACCAGCAGGGATTGGGGCCGATACAAGTTGAGTCCGACGGGGGTGGCAAAACACAAGTAAAAGAAAAAAAAACTCACGAGACAAAAAATTACTGATAAAAAAGGGTGACAACCTTTTATATCTAATGTCCGTTACATAAAGAAAAATTGTTCTTATTTCCCGACCCGCTCTGTGGACTATGGCACCAAGCCTCTATCATACAACTTAAAGATTTCGAGTTGTCTACTCTTCAGAATTATGTATGTCGGAGTGTGGTCTAGTTCGACACTGGGGCTAATTTCTATCGATCATTCGCAGTTGATTCTTCTCTTCGACTTGAGTTGTATTTCTTCTTCTTCGTCGACTAAGATAGAACTTCCCTGGTCTTCGACTTGGCTGCAACTTCTCTTGTCTTCGACTTGGCTGCAACTTCTCTTGTCTTCGACTTGGCTGCAACTTCTCTGCGGCTCTCGAGTAATCTTCTTCTTCGTCTGCTTGGGCTGGAAGTTCTCTTGTCTTCGACTTGGGTGCAACTTCTCTGCGGCTTTCGAGTAATCTTCTTCTTCGTCGACTTGGCTGCAACTTCTCTGAGGCTTGCGAGCAATCTTCTTCTTCTTCGATTTGGGCTGGAAGGATTTCTTGTCTGAGGATTCTCTTGCCCGCAAAGGGGCGAGTGAATCGGGCCTGATGCCCGCGTTCAGGCTCTATCCCTGCCCGCGGTCCAGCTGCAACTCCACTCCAACTGATTTCTGTCGACTGGGGTCCTGCTTTTATTGACGCCGCAACAAACTGGGGTGGGTCTGTCGGCGTCAGGGTTTTCTCGATAACTCCAAAAGTCGCATTATTTCTGTCTTCTCATTATCGCTATTGTTTTCCCCTACTTCCTCACAGTGCCCTTGGTGGGGAGGCGCACACCCATCTTTCCCGGTCCCTCGTATGTCGGGTGACCGCTCTCGACCAATGATTCCTGATCGAGCACTTCTTTCTCTTCTTTCCGCAGATCACGTGACCGTTTCCGACCAATGGTTCTTGATCGAGCATCCTTTCTCTTCTTTCCGCATATCACATGACCGCTTTCGGCTAATGAGATTGTGGTTGGGCGTGGTTTACATCGTTCTTGTTTTAAAAAACAAAATCTAATTTTGCCTTTTTTGCACGTACGAAAAAAAAATGACAATCTTGGCTTTTTTTCTCACCTGGGCTCTGTCAAAACAGCCCGCCGCTAATTAGATGTGACTTCAGGGAAGAATATTGGCGCTATCTGTGAACTGAGACAATCGTTTTTTCACCTCTTGTTTTTGTCAGACCCGACAGTCAGAAAATCTTAATTATCTACATTGAAAATGTCCCCACTTTGTTATCATGGGTTTCCAATTCTTAATAGGTCAGAATCTGTATATAGTTCCACCGGTCACTCCCCTCAACCCAAAAGGCACTTTTCTCCGATTAAAAAATTTCGTTTCTATTGTTCTAAAAAGAATTTCCCTTTCTCAATTTGACAATGAGTCTTTCCACGCAAAAGTAGGCTAGGTGCTTTGACCGATTTTTCTTATCAATTGCCAAAACACTGTCATCAAGCCTGGTTCTTTTTTCTCCCTCTTAATGATTTTTCATTTCAAATAACAATTCTCTATTGTCCTTTAAAATTCGGCCACACGCAGGCCAAGATATCTTTCTGACACTTATCTTCGCTTATGACTGGGTCATGCATCATCCAACTCTCTTTCTTTCTTTTTTTTTTTTTTTTTCTTCCTCTTTCTTTTTTTTCTTTTTAGGATCGTCTAAGTACAATCTTAGTGAATTATTTTCAACTCAATTATTTTCCGTTAAAAAAAATCAACAACCTGTTTAGTAAACCGAGTAAAAAAAAAAATTAAATCATATTTCTATGAATATTTCTAATAATGCAAGGTGCCACAATCCTCCCCTAACCGATTTGTCATTTACCCGTAAATGACACCTAAACCCAATTACATCATTTAACATGCACCATGCATTTGCCTCATGCAATTCTATTCTACTTTCTAACATGCAAGGGTAATGTTCTTTCCATTTTCTTTTGTTCTACATGCAATGAAATGTTCTTTTCATTTTCTTCTGTTCTACATGCAATGAAATGTTCTTTTCATTTTCTTCTGTTCTACATGCAATGAAATGTTCTTTTATTTTCTTTTGTTCTACATGCAAGGTAATGTGTGCGTGTGTTTGTAGGTGCAGATGTGTTCACTAGGGTTTGTTCTTCTTGGTCAATGTTTTCCTCTCTGCCGTGGGAGGTTTTTCCGCCGCACGTGGTGGTCTCCATGCCAGCCACCTCCATTGGTCTTTCAGCAATTTCTTCGCCAGTCCTGTCTGAGTAAGGAACACCGCTCGGCATCTCCCTCTCGAGTTGCTGCATGCTCACTAGACTGTCGTTCGCCAATCTTCTCTTACTCTTAATCTTCCATATTATTACACCCCCGATGGCTATAACTAGGAATGTACCCATCACTATTGACCAACTTATCGCGATCTGCTCATCGTCTTCCCAAGTTACACCTTCGTCTCCCAACGCACTTAACTTATCCCTTATTGATCCATATCGATCTTTTCTATTGGCTTCATTAACACTGGCATCTTATTTAAGGTGACATTAGAGAATCTCTTCACTATCGGCTCCCATAATTCTGTACAATTGACTAAGCCTCTACCAATCATCTCTATGAGTGAATCTTTTTTCTTCATACCTTTCTTCCATCTGGTAATAGGGGGGCAAGAGATGGACACCCCAACCGCCGAACATCCCATGGGTAGCGTCACCAGGGATAACGGTGGCCTTATTTTAATGTCCTTGTGGACTCTCCCCACATACCCTAGACAGGCTGATATGTTTCTGTGTGGCTACTGCCCACACCCCCGTCTGAAACACTGATAGCTTGTGGTAATGCAGAGTTTGTTAATACCTCTACTTGGCAGATTCTTTTGATTCCTTCCCCCTCCCTTCAAACAATTCTAGTATGCACAGTCTGCGGTTACCAGTTTTATAGATAGGGCTTAACGAGGTACAAGTCCCCAGGGTATCATCTCTACACCTTCTAGCTTCTTCAGCTGATAGCAACATGAATTTCGTTCTCCCGAATTTAATGCTATGTAGTCTGCTTCCACCTTGTACCTTGCTATTATTCCTGAAAGGTAACAAATTCTCTTGTTGTTATTCTTCACAACTACTTAGTCTCGCTCGACTCATCACTCAATCATTTCATAACTTTTTTTTTCTAAGTTCGGCTCTTCCCTCCCCTAACTAACCTCTAGCAGACAGAATGGTCCGGTCAGGTGTGCGTGGCGCTCACTCTAAAGGTCGTACTTCATGACACCACTGGTGATCAATCAACAATGCCAATGATCTTCTTCCGTCCCTTGTGAGGTGCAGCCCGCAACTCCATCCCCCCCACTCACATCTACCATAGTCAGCCAATAGGATTTTGGATGAGCCAATGTCGTTATCTGTCGACACTAAATGCTTCTATTCTGCACAGCCCTTTTGTTCTACTGAGATTTGGGGTTCTTCTCCCTCCCTGATCTCATCTTCTGAGGTGATTCCTGTTCAACCTCTAACCTTCTTTCTGTGTTTAACTCCCGTCCAGGAGGTTTTTTGTCCTCTTCTTCATCCCCTGATTCTTCTTTCTGTTTAGGGTCTTCGCCTTGAATGTCTTCGATACCTCTCGACTCTATGTCTAAACTTCTCCTGTTCCTTATCCTTTCCTTAAACTGGGAAAGGGGTATTCGATCCTCCTCCTCCCACTCGCTGGGCCCTTCGTCTTGTTCAGGGTGCCTCTTTTTAGAGCCTTCGACTGCTTGATTGGACCTCTTCGTCTTTTCTTCCTTTTCTTCGGACATGGGGGTGTGATGGCGATCTCACGGGGTCTTCTCTGCACTGACTCAGTCGACGACTGAACATCGCTAATCCCCGTTGAGGGTTCCAACTCTGTCCTCAGGCTGCTTCGTTTATCTGGTCAAGTCGACCTATCTCCTCATCTTCTTCGGAGTCTTCCTCCGTCTCCATTCCTTCCGGTTCAACCAGAGTTACCTTCCTTTTCCTTGTCTTCTTAGGCCTCGGCTCGCTCATTTCCAGGTTGCTTATTTCAGCCTTCTTCAGATCATTGGCATGAACCCTCCTCGCTCGTCCTGCCACTTGATCCCATATTACATATGATACTGGGCCCGTCTGCTCTACTATCCGGTAGTACGGTTCCCATCTCTGGTCCAGTTTTCCTTCTCTCTGGTGGATTTTATAGTAGACAGGGTCTCCAACCTTCAATTCTACCACCTTTCTTTCAGCATTCACCCTCTCATTTCTTTTCTTCTGGGCCCTCTTTATTCTTCTTCTGGCCTGTACGAATATCTTATGTTGCTGTTCCAGCAATAGTTGATGATGATCTTCTCCCATATACCTTCTTCGGGGCTTCAGTAGGGTTATCTACAGGCAGGACCACGTCTCTGCCAAACAACAAAAAATAGGGAGAAAATCTGGAGGTTTCGTTTATCGTAAATCTCACGGCCGCCAGAGCCTGCGTCAAATACAAGTCCCAATTTCCAATGTTTTCTCTGACCAACTTGGCCAATACATCTCCCAAGGTTCTATGAAACCTTTCCACTTTAGCATTTCCCTGGGGGTGATATGGGGATGTTTTTATGTGCTCTACATTCAAACCTGTCAAAACTTCTCTCATGATGCTGTTCACATTCTCCGTG